AAAAAAAAAAACCTATCATTTTAGTTAAAATGTTTGACCCGGCTTCAAATAAGAACAATATTTTTGAAAAGGTTTCCATTCAAAAGGTATCCTACTGTCTCGTAATGCAAGGGAGAGGTATGCAAAAGACATTTCAAATTGAACAGACCGGCTCAGCCATATATAATATGCTTCATATATGCCACGTCACTAGGGGTGGTCAAGGAGGCTCATTGTCAGGCTGCCGCCACACACCTGATTATTTGACATCCAAGAGCTTAATTTACCCACGGAGGACATAAATCGATTAGAAATATTCTTAACTAAAAACTCTGAATCATAATTTATTAGTATAGGTTTACGTAAATTATTTTTACCTAAATCGATTCAAAGCTCATCTAATAAATTCTAGTTTAACATGCATGTTAAATATTTATTATTAGAGATATAATAACAACAAAATTTAAAATCTATTTATTTATATAGTCTCTTCTACGTTTGAAGCATCTATATCAAAACAAATATTTGATAATGTTTCAAAAGTTTTTACCGGTAAGGCCCATAATTTTTATTTTTTTTAATTTACGTGGGGTGTTCGGGCTAGTATGCGCACACTACGACCAATCCCCACGGCCCACTGAATACCCTGCAAACTCAGTAGGCATGTAAGGCACCGCGGGGGTAACAGACGTGCACACCATATTATGATAAGGCCCATAATTAATTGTGAGTGTGCTACAAGTTTATAAAAAGAAGTTTTTTTGCTGCTTATTGTGATAAGAAAATTCATGAATAGTTAAGTATTTACGTAAATTATGGAGCATGATTCCATTATTTATGAGTTTTATTTAATGAATAGTAGAGTATTTTTTATTATTTTGTTTGGATTGGTTTGATTCAAAGCTAAAAATATGTTGAATTGGATCCAGCCCAATAAAATAAAAGAAATATATTTTTTATTTTTAATTGTATTTTTATTTGAAAAACTAGTGTTAAATATTATTCAATGGTACTATATAAATTAGACAGAAATCATTTGATAACATAGCATTTGTAAAATTTGATCGCAATCTCAATTTTGTACTTGCTTATACTTTACCTGATGTTGTTGCGCTCTTAAAAAATTAATGAAAACCTATAGTCCTTATCTGATATATTTCATACATGATGTAATTGTAGATAGTTTAATAGAACAATAAAAAATATTTTTTATAAAATATTTTTTATTTCATGACATAATAGCAATAGTTAAATCTACAATATTTAAATTAAAAACTATAAATATTAATATAAAAAATTATTTTATAACCTCAATTTTAAAATTATTTTTAACCAAATACATTAAATTATTTTTTGTTCAACTTCAATTTTTATTAAAGTTTTAACCAAACATATATTTTTTGACACCAATCACAACTAAAAGTATTTTTTATAAAATATTTTTTTTCAAACCACAACCACAATACCTATTGCATTACCATACACACTCTAAAAAAATCATTTTTAATACTTTATTGATCTACATATTATTTAAAAATTTATGATAGTACGGAAATTGAATCATGTATTTATTGAATCCTTATTATTTCTCAATTAAACTCTTTTTTTAATAAAATTATCAAATCAAATAATATATTAATATTTATTTCTTCTATTGTGTTTTTTTTTTTTTACAATTTATGCAGGATGGCTTGTTGGGGGATGAGTGTGTCCCACTATGAACATTTGTCCGTAAGTACGTGGCCTTCCCACTTGTCGTTTCTTAATATTTATCCATTCATCAATTGGATTATTTTTGCTTTAAAAATCTTGTTTTATTATTCATTTATATTATATTCCACTTGATAATACCAATTAACTATCATATAGTTTGTTAATTAATGCAATTGTAAAATTTTGTTCAATCCTTATTGCCTATACATATTCTAGTATTTTTTTTCTATTTAAAAATGTTGTGGAGAAACATGGAAGAAACAGATTTTTTTTTTAAAATGAAGCAAATGCTGGGAAAGATGAGATCAGCATTGGATTACTCTATTGACTACTGATCATGAGGGATCAGTTTGATCGACTGATATGGACAAATGGGCACGTCATCATTTCTAGTCGCTCACAACATGCCACGTTTCGTTCAAGCCACGTTTCTAGTGCTTATAGAAGTACAGATTTAGTAACTGGGCTCAGTCAGTTAT